TTTTTTTTTTTTTTTTTTTTCTTAAAATATCCGTTTTGGAATCCGCGTCGGAAACGGGAATATAACTATCGGTGATCGCCGCGCGAAATCCGAAAGCCGGATACGCTCGTTAACGGCACGAGCCTACTCCGCCCGGTTGCCCGCGCGAACTTTACGCCGGTCACGCCGCGAATCATACTCGCCGCGCCTGTTGTTCTGCCGATCGCTCGCGTAACGATAATTCGGCCGCGTGCCGCGGTTACGCTCCGCCGCGGTTACGTTCGTTCTCCGCGGCGCGTAAGACACGGGGACCGCTGCCCGGATCGATAGCGACAAAGTGACTGAAAGTTTTCCAGGCGATACGGACAAGTTAACTCGTTCGGCACCTGTGGTCCGCGGCCGCAGTTCCGACGCTAAACTCACACCGCGCGCTTGGTCCCCGCTCGTCCGCGCCCCGTTCCCGGCGCCCGCCGTCCCGTCCGCCCGAACCCCCGTGTCGCCCCTCAACCACCACCCACCTCGCCGCCCGCCCGCGGAAAAGTCGGTTACTCCGCGCGCCGCGGGGCCGCGCGAAAATGCGGTTTTCAAATAATTTTTCATACGGAAATAATATTACCCGTCGCCGAGCGCGCGTACATTAAACGCGGGACTCGTAATATACGCCGCATTACGCGCGACGGAGCGGTTATCCGTTTAGAGGGAGCCGCGCTGTTTTATTTCATTTTTTTTCCCCCGCTCGACCCCCTCTTAAATTCGAAATTCATTATTCACAAACGCTCGTACCGACTGTCGCCCGGCCCCGGAACGGAATAAAATATTTAATCAACGTCCCGCGATCGAGAAAAGCGCGAGCGAGAGATCGCGGACGAACAAACCGTGCGTCGCGAGCACCGTGTCCGCGGGTAAACCCCCGGAACCGCTCGTCGTTCCGGAGACGGTGCTGAATAATTCGTCCCGGGGTCTCGGGATTAAAAATATTGTTATTTTAGTTTTGAATTTCAAACCGTATAAATCAAGTGTATTATATTTTATGCGCGGCGGTACTTTAACGCGCATTACGTATAAATTTATTATTGCCCGTAATCCGTACGGACGGGAAATCGGTCCGGGAGCGATCGTGGGTAAAGAATTCACGGAGTGGCAGCGGACGGATTTGAACAGGCTCCGTGTTTGTACCGTTGTAAATTGATAATATTACACTGTAAAGTGATTTAATTGCATACTCATGTGGACACCGCAACGTCTGGCCTTTGGACCGAACTCGCGAATTTATTCGATTTGTATTATAAGCGGATTGGGGCGATAAACGTATTTTATTCGGTTTTAATATGGATTTCAGCGCGTTGCCGCTGCAGGGCGTTGGTTTTTCGCAGGCTTAAAACACCACAACGAAATCGCACAAACGAAGCCAGGGGTTTCGATTTTTTTATAGTCATTACGTTAGTGACAAGGATGTGCCTTTTGGGGTTTCGCCATTAACGTTCGGGTCTAACTGGAGTTTTATTAATTTTGTAAAACTGTTGTAAAATAACAGTAACGGTATTGCGTAGTGTAACATTACAGCATTGGGTTGGTTATCGTTTTACATTGACTATTTCTATGCGTTAGACGAGAGAAAATTCTACACTGGCGGCGGAATTTTTCCACTTATGGGCGTATTTATTTCTACATATTTCTAAAGGAACGTGAGGTCGAATTCCCGAAAAGCAACAACGGATGATACCTTGTATATATTTACATGATGCAAATTGGACAAATCGTTCTGTTTTAAATGTATTGATACATTTGTTAAACATTATATTTATTAAACTGAACGGAATATATACTCTTTATAGTAGTAAAACAGTAATGGCCATCACCGCTGACGACAATGGTATTAGAGTTTCTTTGTAAGTACGTCATAAAATTGTTATCATTTCAAAAGCATTCAAATCGCTGTGGCGATTATTTTGTTATTTCAGAGCGAAGCGAGAAATATATTGGTTTTATTGTGATGTATAATGTGGTTTTATTTTTTATTTTTTAGATTCATTAGCATTATAAATTTTGCTCCAATCAAAAAATGAAATAAAAACATTTTTGTTGATCTACTAGATAAAATAAGTAAACTATTTTTGTAGATTTTGGGTGGAGCGAAAAAAATTATAGTCTTACAAAGATGTTTATTTATTTTTTTAACTGTGTGCAACTTTTCTACCAGAAGACTTGCTTGAATTTTTAAGTGAAGTACTTATTCTGAAAGGAAATCGGTGTGGAGAGGTACTTTAAGGATATTATTTTTCGTTTTTTTTAAGAGTTTTCTCATCAAATTTGAAAAACCGAAAAAAAAAACTGGAAAATGTACAAAATATATTACTATAATATTACGATTTTTTTTTCCTTTGCACAACTTTTCTACTACCAATTTTTCTCCAATTTTTAATGATGGCAATGTTTCTACAAGAAAATTTCACTAGAAAGGTAATACTGGAGTGATCATTTTTCGATTTTTTTATGAGTTTTTAAGTTTTCTATTTAGTTGGTGTAACGAGAGGTCAATTTTTTTTACTGTTTTTTCGGAAGACGGTAAAAACGAAAAATTTTACGGAAGCAACGGTTTCATTGTTTTCAATTTTTGTGTTTCTGTTGTAATTCAATTCAATATAATCGTAGAGATCTGAATTTTTCACGAAATACTTATGTCAGTACGTAATTTATAAATTAATTTGGTGAATTTCGAACAATTTATAAGCTTATTGTTCTTCAAGTTTTCTCAGTAAACGTGAAAAACTGGCAATTTTTGTTGATTCCCGAATTACTTTGGCAACAAGAGGGAAACGCATGACTTCGTAATATTCTACTGAGAATCGCTTTTCGATTACAATGATTTATCGCGGTTTACAGATGTAAATTAAATTCCTGCTATATTCAATCCTAAAACAATTAATCATCTCACGTAATCAGCTACTAAACATTTTATGTTGCCTCACATCTTTGCGATGCATGTTTTGTGTTTCCAACAGAACATCACGTTGCAATTTTACTGAGACCGCTTTAGGGGGTTTTATTTTAATTGTTACTATATTATAAACTTAGAGCATCTATATAACATCTAAAGTTTAGCTCTTTAGAAACGTCTCTTTGCAGTATTAATACCACTGCTCGAAATGGATCGGAACGCACCGAATCGGCGTGGCATTTCGATTCGGCTTTTGCATCCATTCCGGCTGGTTAAAATTAGAATTTTAGAGTTCCAGTTCGTAAACATATTAAGTTAGTATGTCAATATTGAAGAAATTAAAACGAGTTCTACTCGGTAAAATGTTTCTAAATCACGCGTTGGTTGACTGGTCCATAATAATAAAATAATATCGCCAGTGCTTGGAACTGTCGTATTCTCCAATAAAAATTTAATAAAGTAAAACGATATCTCGCAATAACGTAATCGTTCTTATTGCGCACTTTTTCGTTCTCCAGTAAAACGTACTTGGTCGATTTGTTTACATTGTTTTATACGATACGACAACGTAGTGTGAAAAAAAAACTGTTTTAGGATAATGGGGACGGGTGTAGCCACTTTTATAGGTGACGAAAAACAATTATGACAGGAGTTTAGTTGATTGTGAAGTGACCGTTCCGTAATATCGAGATGTCACTGTATATGTTTAGTATATAATATTGAAATTGACTTGATAATGTACGCAGTCATATCTTCTCATTAAGTAGATAAGTATTCCAGTGGATAGGAATTCGGATTGGGTTATGATAGGCAGGGTATCGGGTTCAATACCCATCGGCGGTTGAGACCGGATCCGGGTTTTTTTCATTTTCATTTTTCGTATTTTCGTATTCGATATTGTTTTATAAACACTATTTTGCGGTTCTCGGTATGTTGGAAATAAACATCTCTAAAACGCATTGGATTAAGTTACAAATACGCTTTACCGGCAGTACCGGCAGTATCGCATCAACGTAATATTAACAAGCAATGCGATATAACTGTTGTACGGATGTTGAATGGTGATGTTTAAAAGACGTTTAAAAAAAGACATTTTACGGCCGAAATACGGTCGCAGGAACGTACCGAGACGCGGCACAAATTTTTAACGTTACATGTTTCAAACGAACGTCGAAGCAACATTTCTGAGGCAAATAATTGCACAGTGGACACGAGACGTTGTTCTTTTTGCATCACAGTGTTTCCGCCGGAATGAACCCGCCGATCCGACAAGGCCTTATCGGATTCTCCGTCGCCGGAACTTTCTGCGGCCCTCGATTTTTGGTTACTCCGCGAGTTCTCGTCGCCGTTCGTGGCGCGTCCGCGGTTCTCACGTCGGTCTGCTTTTTGCGCTGCGGCTGTTGGCGGAGGAGCGCCGCGGTCCACTCGTCCGGCGAACATGCTAATTATTCGTGACGTTCCGGTAGCTGCGCGAGTTCGGCCGCCGCCGGAAACCGGTAGCGAAAAGTCCGCCCCGCTCAGAATCTTTTTTTTTCGTTTACGCAATTTATCGTTGCGTTCGGCGCATTGAACAAACTATGGTCCAAATTTCGTGCGCCCCGCGGGCCTCGTCGCATATTATTTATACGCGGACCGCGCGGCGTCGTCGATGAAAATCCGTCGTCGTCGTACGCCGCGGGAGCGCGAAAATACCGTCAAAATGTAACGCCGCGGGGAAAACCGCCCGATCAGAGATTAAACGAAGATTATCGCGAGGTTTTTTTTTGTCCACGTCGTCCGCTCCGTAAAATGCCCCGGAAATTTCCGCAGTGGGTTTCACCGTTCGAAACGCGCGGTTCCGTAACGGGTCTCCGTGAATATCCACCGCTCGCACTTCCCGTTTTCATTCCGATAGCTGTCAGGTGCTGAAGAGGGGGGAGAATAGGGAAGGAAAAAAACCAAACACTGCGCCGCCCTATATTATCTATAAAATATCGATTACCGACAAATAACAAGAAAATTACCATTTTATACTTTATTATTTATATAAAAAAAAAAAAAACTCGCGATGAAATGTACGTGTAACATCAACGACGGCGGTGGGTCGTGCGAAAAACAGCCGGTCGTGGTTTGAGGGGAGACTCCCTGCCCGTTCCCCGTTCCCCAGGCCCTGGCGATAGTCACTTCCGGGGGCCTTTGCCCGCCGTCCGCTTTTAATATTATGCAGTGTACGATTAAGCGTAATAATATACGTTACTTTTTTTCTATTTATTTTTTTTTTCTTATAATACGGTTTCAGCGTAAAATATTTAAATCGAAGGTGACGGCGACGTTGCCACCGCATTCGCGTTACCCGTCGATAACGACTATAGAAAAACGTAGTTTTTTTTTTTATTCTTTTGTAGTTATTGGCATATTTTATCTCTAGTATTCGTATACTCATTCGTGGGTTATTAAATTATCGTTCGAACGACAGCGAAATATTCCAACTTAAAGATTCCCGAATATTTCCCACTAAATTACTCCGCCAAAGACGAAAAATCGATTTTGAAACAATAAAGACTGTTGCGGGTCTTGTTGCGTAAATATTCACGTTTTTTACGAATTTTTCTTTAACAACTTAGACAAAAAATACAATACCGTGTAATTCATCGAATTTCAGACGATCCGGGTTGCTAATTACAGGGGCGTATACAACGTCAGGACAAGCAAGTTTTATTGTTTAAGGCGGAAATTTCAGAATGGGTGGTACATTTGTTTCATTTAATTTAATAGTATTATTATTATTTTGTTTTTTAAATTTATTTCTGATATAACTATATTTAAAATATTATTATTTTTAGTTGAATTTAAAAGACTATACGAAAGACGACCTCCTATTGCGCTAACGAGATCCATAATGTTAAAAAAGAACTCAATTAATGATTTTTCTTACGGAGCAAGATTTCTGGTAGACAAATATAGTTTACAGGCAACAATTAATAAACGTACCGAAAAAAATAATCCAACACATTGTAGTAAAATAATCAACTCACTGCGCTCGGAAACTAAAATAATTATGGAACATTTCTAGGGTCACATTTATGTGTTTTATTTATTTTTCAACCAAATCATTAATACCGTGTAACTAGCTAGTAATAATGCACCATCAGCAACTACGAACGGACGAACGCAATTGCGTGTTTCGATTTGAAAGTTGCATTGTTGCAATTACCTAACATCTATTTTATTCAATCACCGTAGACACACTAAATCAAATTATACGAATAGAAAAAAAGTTCTGGATATGGCCATTGGCGGCGCTCCGCTCTTCGTTTTGAAATTGAAAACGCGATTTTTTTTAGTTCGACAAAAATAAGACCACCATATTTCTCACGATGGGTAGACCACTGTTGTAGATCAGAAGTTGAAAGGAGATAGTAGACTATTTAACGTATATTTGTACGCAACGATTGATTATTGCCAATGAAAAACGATTTTGAGCTAAATCCGATTAAACATGTTTTGAAAGTTTTCGTTTATTTACTATTTTCGTCGAAATTTCGTACTAAAATTTTCATAAAAAAAATAACTTCATTAAACGCTTTTTTTTTTATTAACTACAAAGAACAGCTCACAATGGATCTACATTGGTCTAAAAGTATTATCCGCAGAGTACCTACCGAATAAAAAATACGTAAAAACTCAAAATTAAAATATCTATAAATAGCTTAAAAATGATTCAAATGTTCTGAAAATTTTACCATGTTTAGAAAAGACAAATATAATTTTTTGTTCAAATTCCAAGCCTTTAAAAATATGTTTAACTGAATTACAACCTGGATAAAACAAAATTGAAAACAATAAAAGTATTATTTTCGTAAATTTTACCTTTTTTCCTAATCGTTTTCCCGGTTTTCACCATTCATTACGAAAAAACAGCGGGGAAAAAAAAAAAAAAACAATTTCTCTAAAGCACCATCCCAACAGAAATTTCCTTCCAGAAAAAACGTTGTACTTGAAAACCGGAGTAAAATTGTTTGCTGAAACCACCGACCGATCTCGCCTCGCTTCGCTCAGAATCCTAAACCGCGACTGTTCTGCCTCTTTTCCGGGCGTGCCCATCGTTTACGCGATCGGGACGACGGATTATAATGTTTTATCAGAACTACGATGTTCGTCCGACAGCGTCATACGGGAAATTATGCCGCCGCGGTCGGGCCGCACGATGTTGTAACATTAACTCGGCCGACCGATGATGCGATTTCGGCCGTGACAACCACCGGTTTCGCGGTCGCGGTCGCTCACACGAAACGGACGTCCCCCTCGCCGCGTCCCTCCCGCGGATAACGGCGCGCACAATAATACCATTATCATTGTTGTTGTTGTTGTTGTTATTATTATTATTATTATCATTATTGTTATTATAATGCGACCGGGCGGCAAATCGTAATAACGCGGCGGCGGCGGCGGCGGCGGCGGCGTTTCCTCCGGACCGGACGTATTACGGATATATAAATACGTGTCCGGAACCGCCGCCGCCGCCGTCGTTGTCGTTTCGCGCGGCAGTGTCCGCGGAGAAACGCGGTCGGGTAGGGGTCGGCGTCGACACCCGTTTACACCGTACCGATGTACGGGATGGGCGCGCGGGCGAAACGACAGTCGATTCGGTCGCCACTAGTGGGACCGACGCCGCCCCGTGCCCCCGGATACGGTGACATTTCTCCGGGGTGACCTTCTTGCGGGCGGCCCCGGGGTCGGATATTTCCCCGGGCAATTAATCCGCCGCGCGCACGAACGACGGCTACCGCTATCTCCGGAACGTTATAGACCGTCGCGAATAACATTATGACGCGCAATCAAGACGGTTGTTGCAGTCGCAGGTGTAGTCGCTGTTGTCGTTGTCGTTGCGGTCGTTGTCGCAGACGTGGTATACCGCGGTTCTGCCGATAACCTTTAAACCGCGACGACGACGCGGACGTCGCGATATCCGAGATGTTATACGGGAACGAGATTTTCGAAGTAATTATACGCCGCGTATCCGTTCCGTTTAAAAAAAAAAAAAAAAAAACCCGGACAGACCGGACTTTCACCTAAACTTTTGGACTTTCTCCGCCCTTCTCCCCTCCGGTGAGAGTATTTCCTCTGTAAAACACGACCTTTTCGTCACGCGACACACTAATTCGATCGGATCGACGTTTGTGTTCTGGCGGACACCACAGTGAACAAAATCGTACTCGATTGGGCGTTTCGCGGGATGTATCCGACGTCCGAATCGGTTCCCGTTAAATATCTCCGTTCAAATAATTAACACGATGAATGCAATTATAATTTTGAACGTTTTTATAATTTTACCATACTACGGCGGGTATTTTACAGTTATCGAGGCAATAAAATAATGTTACGTCAGCGTGTCGCCAAAATGCCGCAATCGATTAGGATAACGTCAATCCATCGGGATATACATCTGGTATTAATACAGCTATATTTTACCAAATATAAAATACAGAAATGTATCTTCTATAAAATCTGAGTTGACAGCGCTAAGCCTGTATGAATGGGAAACGAAATGTGCGTATTTAACTGTATTACTTCGAAGAGTGTGAACCAATTCGACCAGTAGTGGATACGTTACAAATCTAAACGGGAACCTTTTCGACTCACCTTCATAAAATGCATTTTTCGTATGGGAACCAATGTTGTCGTTGCGTATAACCGTAACGAATAAAACAACAAAAAGTCAGGTCGTTACACATCCAGGCTCTTGGGCCGGGGAAAAAAAATGTAGAAAAACATTATTTCATCGTACGGCTTTTATTCGAATTGTACGCTCTCGCCGGCAATAATAGTAATCTGTAGTCAGATTTTCGATTTTGCCATTTTTCGGCCATTTTTCACGTTTATCGCCCATCTTTACTACGCAATTGGCCGGAAAATGGGGAAATAGTAAACTCGGCCGTGAATGAATATTGTCTTTTGTCGATAGATACCTGCAATAAAAAAGTTCCGCGAGACGTTTTTTCCCACACACCCGAAGTCACGTTCCGTCCGTGAAACGATATCGGAAAGTAAAGAAAATCGAAATGCTAACCACGGTTAGCCGAGAAAAATCACAAAGCTATTGTTCTTAACCAGCGGTGTTCACATTGAGTTTACTTCATATATTTCGTTATATACACACAACATGTTGTAAACAAATAAATTTTGAGTATTCCGCGTATATTTTCAAATAATTTAAAAAAAAAAACACGTTGTGATGTTTTATTATCATTTCCCATCCATACACCGCTAAAAACCATAATAATAATACAAATATTATATTTATTTTGGCAATTTGAAATAAAAAATTCACAATTTTTTTATGATGCACAGTACTTTTTTCTTTTCTATTTTAACATTGACGTGATTTGTACGTTTTTCCGGAACGCCACTCCACATCGTGGGTATTATCAAATATCGAATTCGTATGGAAATTAGTGATG